ACCCGTCCCCCAAAGGACGGAGCATTGTTCCCACAGGAACGATCACCGATGACCAACCATTTCTTCCTACTTTGCCAAAGGTGGCTCAAAAATGTCTTCCCTAGGTCTATCTATCCTAACGATATATCCCTTCCCGCCTTTTGAAACCGCGGGGGGGGGGGGGGGACACAGGCACAACCTTGGGAGACAAAAGCAACACGTGTTTTTGCATTCATCAAAACAAAATTTATATTCTTGTCTAGGCTCCACTGCAATTTTCTCCCTCGAATACATGTTGTCCTGGTTCGGAGCTGACCATAAAAAAAAAACATGCATGGGCTACAGGTTGGTATGTACATTGGCCGGACACCTGTTCGTTCCGAAGCACGCTGCCGCACAAACCGACAGATTCGGAACGATTGTGACGGTGCCCCAGAGGGTCTCGCATGTATCTAGCCCGGTCGAGCGCTACACGTACTGCAACCCCATGTTGATGGTAGTAGTCGCGAGTAATCTACCTGCGGCAACGTTCCAAAGAGACTCACTACTGTCATCCCACTTCTTAACCCTCGCTGCGACAGAGCGGCTAGAACTGCGCAGTTCCAGGCGTGCATGTACCACTAAATATCACCAACAGCAAACAACGCTAAATACCCGTGACGGGCAACACCAACAACCGCCTCGCTCACCGCAACACAGCTCGTGAGCAGGGTTAATCTCCACATCCCCGACATATCACCGGCTAACAAAGTCGCGTTGCTCGTGCTCCACGAGCCCCCCAGGTCTTTTTTGAAAAAAAAAAAAAAAACAGAAACGGGGTGGGTGGGGAGGCGGAAGGCGATTAATCATCAATTTCGGTGGAGGGAAGCGGGGCAAAAAGGGGACCATGTTCACAGCAGTAGGAGCGAGGGCATCGAGGGAGGCGATATGTCAGCCTTCCACGCGGTGCCCCCGCCTGATTTCCGAGGGTCTATAATAATAGTCGTTGTCTTGTTCACACGGAGTCAGCGTGTAAGACTGTTATGGCCGTCCTATAGGGCCAGGCCTAGGGACACGACCCCCCGCCCCGCCCCCACCCTCATCTATTTCATACATTAAGAATTATATCCTATCCTGGCGAACTGTATTCAGTCGCGCCCTTGATGACTGACTCACCGGTGAGAAGGTCGCCGATGGCGTAGGCAACGGCGTAAGCCACGTTGGACACGGTGGTCAGCAGCGCGTAGCTCGTGCCCTCGCTACCCGTAGGGCACATCACGGCGTACCTGTTTCGTCGTTTTGTGGGAAAAAAAATAAAAAAAGAGATTAGTTAAACAGCAGTCCCACCAAAAAATAGACGAGTTTTGCATTAAAAAAAATTAGACAAGTGTTGCATACGGCCTCCCCAAATTAGGAGGTAGAGTAGAATAAGGAGCCACCCAGAGGCAGGTGCAACGAACATGCTCCCCTGGAACAATCAATCGTCCAGAATGACAAACATCAGACTCGTGCGGAACCTCTCCCCTCCCCACACGCAAGCGCAAAAAAGGCCAGATCGCTTCTCCTGTACGAGACACGTCATGTCGACGCCAACGAGAACGTTACCGCCAGAGACGTATACACCATTAGTTGTTCACACAAAAGGAGAGAGAGAGAGAGTGCCTCCGACACCATCGCAAGAACAACACGCATCTCCGGAAAAGCATGTACGGTACATATTGATGTTTCTCGTCTTCTTGTGAGCACACCATTGGGATGTTAACGTACACATGCACCTCCTGCTGGATTGTACATCTCTATCTTTTCTGTCCTCACGTTCTTGTCAGCGGCAGGAACAGCAAGGCAAGGATGTATTGTTCTCATTTTCTTGCGAGCGACACACCATTAACGATGTTAACGTAAGCATGCACCTCCTGCCCGATTGTACATCTTTATCTTTTGTGCCCTCACATTCTTGTCAGCGGCAGGAACTGAAGGGCAAGGATGACCTCGCTAAGCGCCTCGTCCCCGCTCGCGAAGAGGAGGTCCGGGATGCCCCAAGAAGCACTAATACCTAGGATTAACAGCAGCTGCGCGATAGTGACAACGAACTGCGGCCGACGGGAACGGGGACGGGGGTCGCTCGTCTTTTGCATGCCTTTGCGATTAGACCATTGACAAAGCTTCCTTGAGAGGACGGAGGATTGTTGCGGGGGGGGGGGGGGGGGG